GCAGGGTTGGACCCCCACCAGATCCCAAGCCTGAGACAGGAGCCAAACAGGGCACAGATCTGCCAGGGCCCCTCAGAGGATAAAGCACCAAATCTTTGGGGGGGGCTGCTCTAGGCAGCAGCCACCCCTCCACGGATCTTCCGTACCAGGCCAAGCCGCCTCGTCCCTGGGAGGAACACACAGGCTCCCCTGCACGCAGGCCCCAACAGGCTTCATTTTCCTGGAGCATGATTTAGGGGCCGATGGAGGGCACCACCCTCCTCCAGTCAGCAGCTCACCTCCTCAGAATCCAGATAGCAGGACAGCAGCACCCGAATGTGTCACAGGCCGGGTCCAGTCTGCGCGGCAGGCCACGAACTTCCATCTCCGCGGATGGGGGTCAAACCAACCCAAATCCCCTCAACAGGCAGCAGAACAGGTCCGTGGGGATCACCGTTGGTGGCAGGATCTCGCTACCCCCAGGATGGAGATGGATGCTGTAACGGAGGCGGCAGAGCTTTCTTAAGCAGCTGCTCCAGTCGCCATCTTGGACACGCCCCCCTTGTGAGCATTTTTCATGCCCATACTAAAGCTCATTAACGCCTGTCTAACGCCCATACTGACGCTATAGGGGCGTTTTTGAAGAGTTCGAAATTTAGTTAAATGTGAATAAGCCCTTAAGGATCTGCTGTCGATCACGCAGCTGGATTCACTCTGCCAAGCATTTTTGCATGTCGTGGGATTGAGAGCATGGTAATTACAATGAGATGTGTGGGGATGTAAGAGAAATAGCCGTCATTCACAGTGGTGTGCAGTATGCGCACACATGTGACAATGCTACAGATAGGTTAGGCTGCATAATAATGCCACAAGGAATCAGAAAGTTCCTGTAACTGGCAGGAGCACCAGATATTTTCAGTTCATAGCAGTGTTCTCAGAAGAATAGCACACATTATTCAGGCAAATGTGTCTGGGAGCATGTGCTGAAAAATTTAATTTTGGATCTAATTGCATGAATTGTAAACCCTAAAAATGAACTTCAATTTGTTATGTCTGAAAATGCACCTGACGCTGGTTATATACGAGATCACTAACAAGGGTTCCTGGTAATTAGCTGCGGGAGACAGCCCCATGGAAAGCAATGGGCGGCTGCTGGTTCCCGCAGCTAATCATGGCCACCAGTATGATGTAATCATTCAAAGAACAATCACTCACATGTGATCACTGCATGAGTGGTTACGTGCAAGTGGCCACGCTTGGCTACGAAAGCCAGCAACCTCCCAATGCTTTCAATCGGGCTGTCTCTCGCAGCTTATTACCAAGCACCCCTGTTGGTTTTCTCACATATAATCAATGTCAGGTGCATTTTCAATTGTGAATGCACTGTCATCAAACAGACATAACAAAGTGAAGTTCATTTTTAGGGTTTAGAGGTAGCTACTTGCTGGGAATACTCACTGGGGTTCTCACATGTTATTAGTGTTGTATGCATTCGCAGGTGTGAACGCACCCTTTAGGACACAAAAACGTTATATTGCCAGAAATCTCTGATTAAGTTCCTGTGCTTGCTGCCTTTGCTTACTGTTATCAGGGAAGATGGGTATACACTAGTAGAATTTTTGAACAAAAATTTGTACGAAAATTCCTAGAAAAATCTATATGAAAATTCTCAGAACATTCGAATGTCATTCAAAAAAAGATTTAATTTGCTTTTAACAATTGATTTTGGAGTGAATGGACTTTACCAAATGTAAACCAAATACACTTTTAGAAATTTGTACATCTAAGAAAAAAAAATTCCATCCTGTTACTTTGAATTTTTTTGTCACTGTGGTTAAAAACAAACATCAATGTGACTCCACTAATTATTGGTAAAACAACCGTTTTTACAGAAAAAAATTTTGAACAAACTTCTGCTAGTGTATACCCAGCTTTGTAGCATTGTTCCCAGCTAACTGTGAATTACAGAACATATATAGTCCCAGGGTAGAAGGGGAGATGTTCTGTAGGCCTTAGAGTGATACCTTCTGTGATAAGGATCCTTCACTACACTTTTTGGAGAAGTAGAATTGTGTTCCTGGCAGGATCAACAGGTGAAAATAAAGAACAAACTGAAAACAAAGATGCAATATTTTGCATTTATTTCCTTGGCCTTTACTTATCTTTAAGGTCTTGAAGTTGTGATTTATCATTTTTAGGTTCACTGGTTTTAAGACATTCCTGTCATTTTCTAGAAGAGGTATTCCTAAAGGAGATGATAGGAAATAAAGCCACCACCTTTGTTTTACAACAAGGTTTATTGGGTTTTCAAAAGGTGTTTTAAAAGGAGACTTCACACAAATTATGTCTCTCACCCTAATTATGTCTCTCACCCTTTTGTCAGTGGCCGCTCTTGGAGGAAAGGTTGTTGGGTTAAGGTTTCTCAATGATTTTTTTTTTTTTGAAGATTCTAAACTACTGAAAGATAAAGCTTCAGGAAGGTGGGAAAGACACCAGTATTAATCTGGCCATACATTAATAAATATACAGTTGTGTTCAAAATAATAGCAGTCAGACATTACTAACCTGATCAATCACTGTTTTTGGTAGAAATTATATTTCTACATGGCAAATAATTTACTAGCAGGTGTAGTAGAGTAATAGAAATCAAACAGACCCAACAGTCATGACATGCATGCTGCTGATTCTGTGTAATTGAATCACTAACTGAAAGGGGCATGTTCAAAATAATAGCAGTGTGGAGTTCTATTAGTGAGGTCATTCATTCTTTGAAAAACAGGTGGCAATTATTGCCCTTATATAGGAAAGGAAGGCAGCAAATGTTGTCATGCTGGTTACAGTGCATTCCTCTCTGAAATTCTGAGGAAAATGGGTCATTCCAGACATTGTTCAGAAGAACAGCGTACCTTGATTAAAAAGTTGATTGGAGAGGGAAAACATATAAAAAAGTACAGAAAATGATAGGCTGCACAGCTAAAATGATCGCAAATGTTTTAAAATGGCAACCAAAACCTGAAAGACGTGGAAGACAGCGAAAAACTACCATTCGAAGGGATAGAAGAATAGCCAAAATGGCAAGGACTCAGCCAACAATCAGCTCCAGGAAGATCAAAGAAGGTGTAAAGTTACCTGTGAGTACTGTTACAATTAGAAGACGCCTATGTGAAGCCAAGCTATCTGCAAGAAGCCCCCGCAAAGTCCCACTGTTGAAAAAAAAGACGTGCTGAAGAGGTTACAATTTTCCAAAGAGCACATTGACTGGCCTACAGAGAAATGGCGCAACATTTTGTGGACTGATGAAAGTAAGATTGTTCTTTGGGTCTAGTGGCCGGAGACAGTTTGTCAGACGACCCCCAAACACTGAATTCAAGCCACAGTACACTGTGAAGACAGTGAAGCATGGTTGCGCAAGCATCATGATATGAGGATTTTTCTCATACTACAGTGTTGGGCCTATTTATCGCATACCAGGGATCATGGATCAGTTTGAATACATCAGAATACTTGAAGAGGTCGTGCTGCCTTATGCTGAAGAGGAAATGCCCTTGAAATGAGTGTTCCAACAAGACAACGACCCCAAACACACCAGTAAACGTGCAACATCTTGGTTCCAGACCAACAAGATTGATGTTACGGAGTGGCCAGCCCAATCCCCGGATCTTAATCCAATAGAAAACTTGTGGGGTGACATCAAAAATGCAGTTTCTGAGGCAAAACCAAGAAATAGAGAAGAACTGTGAATGTAGTCCAATCATCCTGGGCTGGAATACCTGTTCACAGGTGCCAGAAGTTGGGTGACTCCATGCAACACAGATGTACAGCAGTTCTCAGAAACAGTGCTTATACAACTAAATATTCATTAAGTGATTCAAAGTAAAGCAAAATCTTCAAACATTTTTCAGTTTATATAGTGAATGTTTGAGTTTGTAAAGAAGAATACAAACACTGACATTTTTTTGAACAGTCCAATATTCACTTTTCTTCAATTTTTTTTTTTAGAGGAACAACACAAATTTGATATATTTTTCTTCATGTTTTGATTTGGAACAGAATGTGTAGTGTTCCCAATGCATTTGTGTGTATGGAAATAAAAGCTATTAGAAGGATTTTGAGCTTTATTCACTTTTTTCAACTCACTGCTATTATTTTGAACACAACTGTGTGTGTATGTATATATATGTATGTGTATGTGTGTATGTATATATATATATATATATATATATATATATATATATATATACAGCACTGATCATAAAAAACCCGGTAGGATGGGTGTACAGAAGGCGATCGGTAGACTGACTTCTGTGCAACAAACCTTTCCATACATGGATCGAAATTCAGGCCAGTCCTTGTTGAACCTGCCAAATTTCAATCCATGTATGGGCCACCCTTAGGTGATAACTCTCACATCTGTGACTTTACAGCAAGGATAACAGCTGTGCATATGTACAACTTACATCACCATACCAGAAATCATGCAAATAGTGTTGACATTTATGTCACATTTTGTGTTTGAAGGTGCTGTTTTCAGTTAACTTGCATGACAAAATAGAGGTCAGTGCTGAAAATGCAGCAAACAGGACCTTTTTACCCACACAGTACAGCTTGTTTGTGGGCATCGACCCTGTGAAAAACAATTAATTGGAATAATAGGTCTCATGTACAATTAAATTAAAAACACATCCCTCCAAATCTAATTCTGTGCCATGGTAACATGTATACAGAAATCCATCAATAATTGAGATATATGGAGCTAGAATAAACTGAATGGAAACCAGTCAAGTAATGCTGCCCTTCACATTTTGTTCATAATTCACTACTAGGCTGTTAGGTTTTTATTATTTTTTTAAGATAAGTCATATTGTTACATTTTTGCAAACTTTCAAATCAGTCTGAGGTTATATAAATGTTCCTGTTTATTTACTGTACTTTCTTTTCCAGTTACATTTTGGCTACTAAATGTGTTTTGGTCAACTGTGTCTTTTCAGTGGTGTTATATGCTCTCTTCTTCCTCATTGTAGTTGATGTTACTGCTGCACTGCCACTTCAGGTGGCCTCTGGCACCCTTCCTATGACCTTCGGCTGGATCCCCAGTATACTCTCCCAGGAGCAGACACTAGTGGGAGGGAGCAACAACTGCAGCAAGAACTGATAGCACTAAAGCAAAAGCAGCAAATACAGAGGCAACTCCTTATAGCAGAGTTTCAAAGGCAGCATGAACAGCTGTCAAGACAACATGAAGCCCAGCTACATGAGCATGTGAAGGTGAGTGCTCATATGTGCTTGTAGCTTTGTGTGTGTATATATGTTTTTTTTTCTCTCTCCAGTGAGTTCTCTGTTAATGTATTGAACTTGTTTACAGCAACAACAAGAACTCCTGGCCATGAAACATCAACAGGAGCTTTTAGAACACCAGAGAAAGCTGGAACAACATCGACAGGAGCAAGAAATTGAGAAACAACAGCGGGAACAGAAACTGTTACAGCTGAAGAATAAGGAAAAGGGAAAGAAAGTGAGTATTAGAGGCTTCAGAATGCAGAGACCTATTTGGTAGTATATTGGTACTATGTAAAGTTATGTTGTAGAAAACTCCTTCAGTAAAACGCAAAGTAAGTGGTGTCTCTGTTAAAGTATTTATATTCATATAAACCAGAGAGGATTAAAACAAAAGAAATTGCATGTCTGCCAGGAATCTTTATACCTTAATTATACATTAAAGGGCACAGGATTTGTAGCCTACCTTCCAGTGATTGGACAATGGCAAACTTTTTGCTTAGAACCTCCACTTATGCACAATCACATAACCCCACCAACTCCATGGGACTCTGCTTTTTGATAGTGTCTTTAGGTGATGACCTCTTCTCCTAGAGAAGCCTTTACACCAATTTTGTTTTACTTAAGCTAACAGTTTTATCAGAGTCAACTGCAGGGTTCACTTACAGTTTTTGAATCCGTTTCCTTCAGTGTATATTTTGGGATCCGTATCTATATTCCACATCAGTGGGGCTGGACTGTAGCGTTTGCTGCGTTGGGCACTGGATTCTGCATTAGCTGAATGGCACCCTAGCCGTGAAGACCCTTTTGGGATAATGCCAGAAAATAAAAAGCACATCTGCTCCTCACTGCCTGCTTCTCCAGAGACACAAGAAATCTGTTAGCGACTGGGTTATATTGACTCGTTTCCCAGACACGCAAATACCCTTTTGCGCCACATAAATTTTGTGTGAGTGTCCAACAGGGTATCCCTCACTTAACAATGGTGGAGGCAAGGCACAGAGGAAGTAACAATAAAGAATAAAAAATTGCTTCTTGGCCCTTGTTGATGCCCTCGTGATTCCTTTGATGCCATTCAGTCTGGTGTATGCATTCCCTCCAGTGAAGCCTCTCCCTTGAATACTCTGAAAAATAGAGTAGGAAAAGATTTCAGTGATCCTTATCTCTCCAGATTGGCCCAGGAGAACTGTTACACAGATATGCTCAAAATCCTGGTAGACAAACTATGGCCTCTTTCGAACAGGCCAGACCTCCTGTCACAAGGCCCTCTATTCCACCCTGCTTCTTTAGTCGCTGACTTTAAGGGCATGGCTTTTGAAACTCAGATCCTAAAGATAGGGACATTACTGATTCGGTTACTCTCAGCTAGCTCAAAGCAAGAAAATCTGCTTTCTGTAAGATCTACCATTGCATTTGAAAGACCTGTTTTGGCTGGTGCAAAAGCAGGCACCTCAACAATTGAGATTATTCTATTCTTCTCTTCTTGGCCTTCCTCTATTCTTGGATAGACCAGGATCTGGCTCTTAGTACTCTAAATGGAAAGGTTTCTGCCCTGCCTTTTTTGTTCCAAAAATCTTTGCCTTCAAACCTTTATGCAAAGTGTGGCTCATGGTAATCCTCCACTTAAACCTGCAGTGTCTTTCTGGGATCCAGGAAACCTCCATGTGACGAACATGCTATCGGTCCACTGCCACCAACACCAACTTGTGACAAATGACTTGACAAATTCGCACCGTGCTGTTATTGATATGGGACAATGACACTCTCAGCCTCACCCTGTGTAAAGGATTTTTTAGCTCCACCTACAGGAGTAGATCAATAACAAATATCTGGTGGCAGAGTAAAGGGCTAATTGTGTAGTTAACCAAACCTAATGAGGATTGCTCTCACTCGGCTTGCACTTAGATTGTTGTCCCTCGAGCTGAAAAACTGGATTTCTTTGTACTCACCGTAAATTCCCTTTCTGGGTTCATTGACGGACACAGTGTCTTTTTTTTATCCATAACCAAGCAGGGTTTTATAGCTCCACCTACAAGAGTAGGACACTAGGTAGAAATAAAACTCGGAACCTCCTATGGACTGTCCTCTCTGGGCATAAAACCCCCTCTCTGCTATAGACATCTTGTCATTGTACCCAGTGTCTTCATGCGTATGGACGTGAATTTTTACTGAGACTTGTGGTCCCATGACTTCTATTTTTCCTTTTTCTTGGAATTTAGTTTTGTCCTGTGGGGATCTTCTATCAACAGTTGGGCTGGGCGACGAGCTGCATAATCTAGACCCCAGTCTGACCAGTGAGCACGCACAGACCGCTAGCTCCGTGCTCGGTCGGCCGTGACCATGCCCCATCCTGGACCAGGGCAGCCAGCAAGTTAAACGCCTTGCGGAAACGCATATGACCAGGCACCTATAGTCTGTGTCAGTGTTGCCCCTGGCTGATAGCCCCCTCCCTTCCATCCCTGGATGCATGTTGGGGCGTGGGTACTCCCTGGGGTGGTCGGGCCTGCGCGGTTCTTCTCCTTCTCTACAGGCCTGGGCGTCTGTACTACTATGCTCCCTGCCTCCGGACCCCCCCTGCAGTGTTTGGTACGGAGCAGTGGGTGTTCTATGGGTCGTGGTGCCACCTGTACTCAGGTTGCCCTACCTGTTTCTCTGGTGTATATGCTCTGCACAAGCCCCCTCCTCCATCTCTGAGGTGGTTGTGCACCGTGTGGCCATCTGGTCTCAGCGAGATCTGGGAGCGATGCGGTCCTGGGAGACGTTGCTACTGCTTCCTGTTGCAGAAAGGAACAGTTCTTGGCCTCCCTCCTCTGTGGCTTGGATCAGAAGATTGCATTTAGCACACTCAATGTCTGCTCTCTACTCTGACATGTTTTTCCTTCAACCCTGCTTTCTTATTCGCATTTTCATCAAGGGGGTTCATTATGCGGTGCCCCTGTCTGCTCTCTGTTGCCACCATGGGTCTTGTGTTTGGTGCTTTTGGGATATTCCCTTCCTTGCACTTTCGCAGAAAGTTACCTTTTTGTTGATATTACTTCGGCTTGGATGGTGTCAGAGTTAGAAGTTTTGTTCTGTAAGCTCACCTTATCTGGTTCTATACCAGGATGAGGTGGTGCTTCGACTCTTTCCTTCCATTCTGCCGAAGGTGGTGTAGGATTTTCACTTACATGCGGGCTTTGTCCTTCTCTGTGTCCACGGCTGGCACACCCTAAGGTGATAGTTCTGTGTCTCCTGGATGTGATATGCGCAATCCAATTTACTTTTCTGTGACAGCTTCTTTTTGGAAGTCCGATTCTTTCTATACCCTCAGAAGGTCTGAAGGAAGGCCTGGCGGCCTCTTCTGCTGTTGTATCCTGTTGGATGAGGCAGACGATTGGTTAGGCATATGCCAGTAAGGAGCGGGAACCTCTCTTCCCTGTTAAGACGCACTCCACCTGATTGGTTAGTGTCTCCTGGGCGTTCCAACGTTTAGTGTCTATTTTCTCCAGTTTTCATGCACCGACTGGTCACCTGGGTACACATTCACTACGTATATAATGTTGATGTATTGGCATCTTCCGATGATGGTTTTTGCTGCAAGTTTTGCAAGCAACTGGGCACCCTTTGGGGTGATTTGGGAGTAGTGGCATGTTGCCCGGGATTTGTTCTGCATTTCTTGATATGCCTATCCCGCATTGTGGCACTGCTTGGGGACATCCTTGCTTGGTTATGGATAAAGAGGACAACACTGTGTCCGTCAATAAACGTAAGAGAACATGATTTTTTTCGTACTCACTATAAAATCCCTTTCTCTGAGCTCATTGATGGCCACAGCATCCACCCTTCTACAGATTGACTGCTTGTGATTGACTGGAGGCTTATAGCAAAAAGGGGGTTTTATGCCCAGAGAGGACTGCCCATGGGAGGTGTCGAGTTTTTTTCTATCTAGTTTCCTACTCCTGTAGGTGGAGCTATAAAACCCTGCTTGGTTATGGAAAAAGAAGACGCTGTGACCGTCACTGAACTCTGAAAAAGGGATTTTATGGTAAGTACAATCTTAGTGCAAGTAGAGTGAAAGTAATCCTCTCTGGGTTTTGTTAACTATGCAATTAGCCCATTACTCTGCCACCAGATATTTTTTTATTGAAAAATATCAAATGTTCACAATATTAGCAATAGCAATTATTACTTAAATGTCTATAACACACCCTGTCACCACAGACGGATACATCCAGAGGTTTAAGTAAACAATGGTGCAAACTAAATATTTACAGAACAAAAGTTTTACAAAGGAAAAAGAGAATGCAAAAGAACAACAGAAACAGTTGAAGAATGAAAAGTACTTATCAATTCCTGGTTCAGCAAAGTCCAATCAACAAGTAAGATGATATAGTGGCTCTCCTAAGACTTGACAGGTGCTCCTTTTATTGATGGTAAAGACAGTTTTTCATATGTATTCATATCTTTGAATACCTAAAAGTTACAGTCTGCTAACTTGTGTATTGTCCATTATTGGTGTTGGATGTCTATTTCACTTAGGAGAGGTAATGTGTTCCATTTGCCTCCTGTACCTTGGGTAAATATAGTTTGTCTTATCGTGGTGGTACCAGACAGAAATGTGTATTCGCTAAGGACTCGAGCTAAATTATTTACAGTTGGGGGGGGGGTGTCAAAAACTGAACAGTTGTCTGCTGCTTTCCAAAGTACTCAAGCTTGCAAGTCTGACGATTTTATGAGACATGTATTGGGGTTAGATTCTGCTAATTCTATCAAAGTACTGCTAAGGATGTTTGGTATCCAGGTAAAAGTTTGTGGATTGCATCAGATGCCTTCCTGAAAGGATGTAAAGGGGATCACTGCTGTTAAGTCTCCTAGTGTTACAAACTGTCATAGCCGAATTCTGAACAACATGGTGGCCTTTGCCCTTTCACACAGCTTTGTCCAGTTCATATTATCATCACACTCCCTTTGAACCTACCCGCTATATTACTGCAACCATTTTGGTGGCCATTTCTTTCGCCAGGCATGTCTCTGAGTTGGTGGCCTCAATGAGTTTATAGTCCTTCCTTCCCTCTGTTCTGCCCTGAAGCACATCAAGGAGATTTCGCTCAATTGTCTGTCTGATGTTAGAGTAACGAGTGTTTACTGCAACATTTTCCTATCAGGACCTAATTTCCTTTTTGTCCTCCCTGAAGATTCCAAGAAGGGTTAATTCTGCTTTTTCTAGGAGTTTCAGGCTTATGCGCTCAAAGAAAGAGGTCCCCGCCATTCCCTAACTGGACCCACTCCACCAGATGTTGGTGTTTCCTGGGCCTTTCAACACCAAAGCTTCCACCTGGGCTTCGGTTTATACCTCCTCAAAGCTATATGGGTGGATCTTCAGCCTCTGCTGATGCAGGGTGCTTTAGGCTTTCATGTTGGACACCCTCATTTTCCTGTGGCCCTGTTTGGCATTGTATGCTTTATCGTTGCCCACCCTTCTGTTTAGTACTTGGGAAAGTCATGTGGTCTATTTGGCTACACATCTTGTGTACTATACTATACGATTAAGATGAGAAATTAAAAAAAAAAAAGTTAAAATGACTTACCTTTGTAAATTCCATATCTTGGAGAACATTACAGAACACATGTCTCTACCCTGTGTTCTCCATTATGCCTTTTTGCTTGCTGCAAAACTGGAGTCCCACGTAGTGGGTTGGATTATATGAGGTTGCACTGTGGGGCATTTTCAGAAAAGCTTTTGCCAGAGTCTAGTCATCTGACTGTAGACTGGTCTATAACTGCACATCCTGTGTTCTGTACTTTACTCCAAGATATGGAATTTACAGGTGCGTAAAAGTTTTTCCATTTTATTATCGAGGTTTGAATTGGCAGTCCACAGGTATCTTAAAAGGCAAATTCTTTCAAAAGTGAATCTGTCATGAGAGAAGTATAGTGATTGCCATTGCAGTCCTTCAAAAAATGCTCAATGCCTGGCTGTGTTTCAGTATGTTTCAGTCACAGTCCAAAAAGAGGCATGCTGTAAGTTTTAGGGCTACTTATTTCTTTACTTGTTCTGTGTCAGTGACTCAGACAGCATTGAAGTCAAATTAGTGAAATTATCAGCCAGGAAAAGAGCAAGCTTTTCAGCAATGACAGCTTTCATTAATCTGCTCATGGCAATCTAATTATAATATTGTGTCCTTTTTTTTTACTTTTCAGATCCTTTTTACATTACTTTATACCTGCTCTCAATGCAATCTTCTGAGTGGGGTGGTGTTGTGTAAATCAATCATATGTTTCTTGACATCATTGCAATCAAAAATCATATGTTTTTCTTGACATATGTTAAGCCTGCTCACTGGTCCGAATTCTGAACAACATGGTGGCCCCTTTCACACAGCTTTGTCCAGTTCATATTATCATCACACTCCCTTTGAACCTACCCGCTATATTACTGCAACCATTTTGGTGGCCATTTCTCACTGGTCCAGTTAAGAGGATGCCTACACTGAAGAAGGGTTCAGACTAGCACCTAAAATGTCCACTTTGCTACCAGCATTTGTGTTGTAAGGCTGCACTTAGATACACGAGATTCAGTCTTTCTCAGCTGGTAAATTTTGTGTTTTTTAATTAACATTGTTTTTCTTACACAGCTTTTAAACAGTAACTTTTATTTTCCTTGCAGTTTAAGCTTCTCTCTGGGTTCTCTTTGTAGGTGCTGTAGCAAGCACTGAAGTTAAAATGAAGTTACAAGAGTTTGTATTGAACAAGAAGAAAGCCCTTGCTCACCGTAGCCTAAATCATTGCATGTCTAGTGACCCTCGCTTCTGGTGGGTATTTTATGTTTACACTTAGGGCAGGTTCAAACTACCTGCACTGTATAGCAGAGCTCGGTTTACTTTTACTTTTTTTTTTTTTGTTTTACATCTTTTTCAAACATGTTACATGTATGTGTTTAGAGTATAGAACCTGCTAGGTTAATTTTTTGCTTTGTGTTTCCCTTAATTTCCTGTCCCAGAGATGCAGCAGGGTATGAGAGGAAAGTATGGGGATTTCCCCTTCTTAGACAGTTGTCCCTGGAACAGGTGTCCCCATTAAAGATTTCCCCATCATGTTCTGGTGACAATGCTAAAATTTGGGATCTTCCCTCACTTTCTTTTTCGCTAATAACGGTCACCAGTATTAATAGAGGGATGAATCTCCCCAATGGAGTCATAGACGGCAAAAAAAAAACTGACAAAGTGTAACCCTTCTCCACTCAATCCAAAACAAAAAAAAGTGTTTCCTAGAGATATAGTTTAAAGCTGAAGTTTAGCAAAAAAAAAAAAAAATCCCTACAACTTTTGTCACATCACTTATATTATGCAAATACTGACCAGGACTTGGTCACCCCCCCCCCCCCCACCTGTTGGCCGCCATGTGTGTGGCTTCAACGGCCTGTAGGGTTGTTCAGGTAATCTGCAGTGGGTGGGCTGTAGCCATCGAAGAGCTCATCAAAATTTGCCTAATAAGGCCCCAACATCTAGGCACTCTGGGAAGGGAGTAGAACAATATATAAATAGAATTTTCCTATTATGGAATGTTTACCATTTTATTTGCCATAAATCACCATGTTGTTGGAAACTTTCTTTCTAAATATAATGCATTGTAATGTGTTAAGGCTCTGAGCACACTTGTGCGACTTGTGATGTGTCTTTGGACAGCAAAGTCTCATAACAAGTTTTACCCTATATTTTTCAATGAGTACCGTTCATATCTATGCGACTTAAAGTAGTTCATGCACTTCTTTGGTCTGACTTTTATGCGACTTAAGGGCCATAGACTTCAATGTTAACCCTCAAAAGTTGCATGAAAGTCGCACCTAAATGTTTTGCATGTGACCGTTGTGCAACAGTTGCCCATTATCATTGGTCAAAGCCAAAGTCGGACCCATCCAAAGTTGCAGTCCAGAGTTGCACAACTTTGAAGGCCTAAAAGTGTGATGGAGCCTAAAGCTTACAGTTTGGAGACTATAAAACTAAAACCAGTAATGACTGGGGAAAGATCAGCAACATATGTTTGTAGAAGTTATTTCTCTAAGATCTCTGAGTTGTGCTGAATCTCTGCACAGTTAAAACTGTATGTGATTTGCAGTGGGAGAATTCCTATCTTTGCTTTAAGGACATTCTAGTAGAGGATTTTATAATTGATATGGATGCTGAATGCTGTATGAGTTTATCAGGGCAATGGTTACTAATTCCAATAACCATCCTAACCCACAGGAAAACTCAGCATAGCTCCCTGGACCAGAGTCCACCACCTCAGGGAGGGGTATCTGGTTCATACCACCATCCTGTCTTGGGAATGTATGACTCAAAGGATGACTTCCCCCTAAGAAAGACAGGTGAGCATTGGCAAAGTTGCTATGGTTCAGTAAAAAGGATATCACTTAATTAGCTACTGACCTGACTGTTTCTTAAAGGCATTGTTTTTGAACCACTTACATTATAGTGAATTGTAAATTTTGCGTTTACATCTAAATACACCCTGTGAGTACTGTGTGCATGGCGAGGACAAATAAGACATTACACCTGCTTTTTTTTATTGATGTCTCCTCTTTTTACTACCCTCATTGACTGCTTTCACTCTTATCCTTACCACATTTATACATTTGTTTTCCTCGTCTCTCTGTCTCTTCAGGCTGTTCTTTACCCCCACACCCATTTCCATTTGTGTGCCTTACGAGTAGTTACAGGAATGTTTGTGAATTATTAATGTTGCTCCAGTATATTTATTTGATGTGGTCTTCTCAGGCAGTGGGCTGAGCTGGTTCCGTGGGTTAAGTCAGGTACCAGCGGAAGCTTTCACCAGTATGAAAGCTATTGATTGATTTTAATGTGGCTGTTGAAGTTACAGTTCTGCTTCCATTTTCTTAGCTAAGACACTTGGACCTGTGAGAAACCCCTGGATTTACAGCATTGTATAGAGATATTAATACAAGTATAGTATAGTCTGCTTAATGCTGCAGGAGCCATGTATGCAGCAGAATGGCTTAAAGTATTACTAAAAACACAACAGTAAAATCAGTCTGTATATGTAGTAAAGCATGCTTGTTATACTCACTGTGGAACCTAAGGGGTTAATCCTCTGCATTGTGTAAAAATGCTGTTTGATCCTGACTTCTCTGATTCTCCCCTTCTGCCAGTGCCCCCCTCTTGTCTCCTGATAAGACATATTGTGTGGAGTAACTCTATGGGTATTGCTAGAGAGTTTTTATTTTTTTTCTTGGGAGAGTGCATGTGATCAACACAGGGCCAACCAGCACCATCCAGACAGAGGTCAGGGGTCCTGCATCCTCCTAGAGTAGAATGAAAACACCTCCTACAAGCTTTAACTTGTGCTCGGCTGGACACTGATAAAACATCACAAGACTGCTCTAACTGCTGATGAGAAAAAGTATTTAACAGTTTATATTTACCAAAATAATTGTGTTGTACAAAAAGGGATTCGCAGGCAGAGATATTGCTGCTACTAAGATTGGACCTAAATCAACCATTTATCAGATCATCAAGAAGTTCAAGGAGAGAGGTTCAATTGTGAAGAAGGCTTCAGGGCACCCAAGTAAGTCCAGCATGCGCAGGACCATCTCCTAAAGTTGATTCAACTGCAGGATCGGGGCACCACCAGTGCAGAGCTTGCTCAGGAATGTGCAGGCACCTGAGTGCACGCACAGTGAGGTGAAGACTTTTGGTGGATGGCCTGGTGTCAAGAAGGGCAGCAAAGAAGCCACATCTCTCCAGGAAAAACATCAGGGACAGTCTGATATTCTGCAAAAGGTACAGGGATTGGACTGCTGAGGACTGGAGTAAAGTAATTTTCTCTGATGACTCCCCGTTCCGATTGTTTGGGACATCTGAAAAAAACCTGTGTCATGCCAACAGTACAGCATACTGAGACCATTCATGTGTGGGGTTGCTTCTTGGCCAAGGGAGTGGGCTCGCTCACAATTTTGCACAAAGAAGACAGCCTTGAATAAAAAATGGTACAAAAATATCCTCTGAGAGCAACTTCTCACAGTCATCCATGAACAGTTTGATGCATAATGCCTTTTCCAGCATGATGGAGCACCTTGCCATAAGGCAAAGGTGATAACGAAGTGGCTTGGGGAACAAAACATTGAAAATTTTGGTCCAAGGCCAGGAAACTCCCCAGACCTTAATCCCATTGAGAACATGTGGTCAATCCTTAAAAGGCGGGTGAGCAAAAAACCCCCCACACATTCTGACAAACTCCTTTTGATTATGCAAGATTGGGCTACCATCAGTCAGGATGTGGCCCAGAAGTTGATTGACAGCATACCAAGGCGAATTGCAGAGGTCTTGAAAAAGAAAGGTCAACACTGCAAATATTGACTCGTTACATAATCTTAAAGTGTTACTAAACCCAGGACCCTGCATTTACTATATCTGGTCTTCCACAGTGCATAGAACATGGAAATGCAATTACTTTAGTAAATATAAACTGCTAAATACCTTTTCTCATTAGCAGTATATAGCAGTCTTGTGACTTCTATCAGTCTCCAGCAGAGCATTGGTTACAGCTTTAGGAGGAGTTTTCATTCTCCTGTAGGATGCTGAACCCCAGACCTCTGTCTAGAGAGTGCTGATTGGCCCTGTGCTAATCACATGCGCTCTCCCAAGAAGAAAACACTCTAGCAATACACACCAAACTGAGCATTGCAGCTTGCCCCGAGCCTCTGTTCTATCAGGAGATATTTTGAAAACACTGGAAGAAGGGGAGGATCAGAGAAGAGAGGATCAAACATCCTTTTTATACAGTGTGGAGGATTAACCCCTTAGGTTCCACAGTGAGTATAGCAAGCATGCTTTACTGCATATACAGACTGATTTTATTGTTGTTGGTTTAGTAAATGTAATGTCAATAAAAGCCTTTGACACTTATGAAATGCTTGTAATTATACTTCATTATACCACAGTAACGTCTGACAAAAATCTAAAAACACTGAAGCAGCAAACTTTGAAAATTAATATTTGTGTCATTCTCAAAACTTTTGGCAAAGGCTGTATATATGCACGTAGGAACAGCCAAAGTTGATCATGTTTAAAATACGGCTCTCAGTCATTTGTCAGTGATTAACGTGAACATGTGCTTGCGTTAACAGGTTCACTTTAATTTGTTTATTTTATTATTATTTATTTCAGGTACTTATATAGCGTCATCAATTTACGCAGCGCTTTACTTATATATTATACATTCACATCAGACCCTAACCCTCAAGGGGCGTACAATCTAAGGTCCCTAGCTTACATTCATACATACACATACTAGGGACAATTTCGACAGGAGCCAATTCACCTACCAGCATGTCTTTTTGGAGTGTGGGAGGAAACCGGAGTACCCGGAGGAAACCCACGCAGGCACAGGGAGAACATGCAAACTCCAGGCAGGAGGTGGCCTATAATGACAGGAAAATCTGGTAAAGACAGGAAAAGACATTACAAGAGAACACAGTTTTAAAGAATTGCTTACCCAAGAGTTAAGCCGGCCATAAATCGACTTCTGTACAATTAGCCTTTTGGAAATTTTTTTTTTGATCAGGGCCAAGGGTGGTGCTGATGAGTGTATTCTGACAGCGGGGAAACCTCAAATCTGTGGATGGGGGAATCCATTTTCTTTGGTCACCCGCTGGTTGAACTAAAAAGAATGATCATGTATAGTCTGCTTTACTGTCCTTGCTTAAAATACTTTAGCACTCATATATTTTGCAAGTTGTTATTGAGGAATATTCTGTCTACTCCTTCGAGTGCCTATTTAGGTGCAAGCCATTTAGTAGATATTTTCATTAATGTAATAAACTGAAGCACCTATACTTAATTCACACAAGCACAGGAGGACATACAAACTTCAAGCATGTAGTGTGTTGGCTAGAACTGAACCTAGCAACTCTGTGTCTGAAGGGGGCAGCACTAATCTTTCTGCAACTGTACTGCCCTATTATACTTTTTCTAGAATTAACTCAAATTAACATTACAGCACACTTACATATTTATTATGCATTTGTATTGAATATTTTTGAAATTACATATACTCTATTTTTTTCTTCCATTCAGTTGCATATGGTAGGGCAACTTCCTGGTTTTCACATTTTTTTTCCCACTGTCTCTATTCAGCATCTGAGCCCAATCTCAAGTTACGTTCCAGACTGAAGCAAAAGGTTGCGGAACGCAGAAGCAGCCCTCTCCTCAGGAGGAAAGATGGTCCTGGTGTGACTACTTTGAAGAAGCGTCCTTTGGATGTGTCTGGTGAGTGATGGTTATCTGTTAAGTAAATTTTCAGAAAAAACAAAAATTCCCTGTTTATGTTTGTTAACATTGTAGATGGAGGTAGCTGCTTGATACTAGCCTTATCTCTGTGGGAACCATACCTCTTAGCCAAAAAAGGCTGTCCTGGCCACTTGGTTTTCTATAGACTGGTAGGGTTAAATCAGCTGCATCATGTGACTGTAATATCATGTCCTTTGTCTAACTTTATTCTAACATACTTTTTGATGCCTTCATCAAAGTTCAGTATTACCTACTCATTGGAAACTCATTAGAAACTCATTAGAAACTGCCATTGATGACTTGTTTGTAAAATTGTAAGCATCTGTGCTGTAATTTTTTTTCTTTCACTTCTTTGTAAGTCACTTATCTGGAACAAGCATGCAAATACTGACGTGTCAGGACAACAGATATACACTGTCCACATAGGGATTAAGGATTACTGTTCCAGAGCTTGCAACTTTAAAAGAAGGTCATCAGTGGAAGCTCCAATATTTTTTAATTCTGGTTTAATTAACTGGTTCCCTTTAAAGCAAATTATTCAAATCTAATTTCTTGCTGGTATTATGCATTTTATTTTGTATTTTCTTTTAGACTCTGCTTGCAATAGTGCACCTGGTTCTGGCCCTAGTTCCCCCAACAACAGCTCAAGCAACATTACCACTGAGAATGGCATTGCTGGTCCTTTGGGCATCCAGGCAGAGGTATTTTTAGCTTTGGATGTTGCACAGTAAATGCTTCCTATGCAGGTGTATTATAAGTATTGATTATTATTATTATGTTTTAGGCTGCTTTGGCCCATAGATTGGTGAACAGGGAAGGTTCTGTGACCCAGCTCCCTCTCTATACCTCGCCCTCTTTACCCAACATAACTCTGGGACTGCCTGCCAGCGGATCTGCTAATGTACGTATCCTAAAACATTTTACTGTTAGTGGCTGAAGCGTTGATTAGAACTCTACATTTAAACATTTGTAAGCTAATTAAAGTATATGTTAAAACTAAGAACCACAAACAATTCCTTAGCTGTGATGGCTGTATTATTTTTTCAGGCTATTTTGTTTTGTTTTACAGTAACAGAATTCCTGTCCTAGGGTGACAGGATTCAGTCATTGTACTTTATCTATGGAGGAGCAGCATTGCCCTCCTATGACAGGACTGCAGAATACCTCTTCTCTCCTCATCTCCATAAAAATAGTGAGGATATGTTCTGTATTTTACAGATTTGGGAACAATACGAACTGATAAATCCGTATAGGCAGAGAGAAGAGGAATTCTGGCAGGATTAGTAGATTTATTTTTGTTGCACAGATATATTAAAGTGCTTTTATTGACCAAAAAGGAGCTAATAAAAGATGCTTATTGTTGGTGTGTACATACATTTTAACGTACTATCCCAGCTGTTACAGCTTGGTATTTAACCAGGTATGTCAATAGCAACAATAGCATATTATAGGTAATTTATGCTCATTCTAAATTGAGAAAATGTATTAAGTATGAATGAAGGTTTATCATCCAGCGGACCTCCACTTAAGTGGAATAGTTTGTTTGAGTAGTTTTGATCCCTCTGTGCTTTCTGGTCAACTTGATTTAAGTTAGTGTTTTTCCTAATATAAAATGATTCGCAATATACAAAATAGTCTGTTGTATAAAATATTTATGTACAGTCATGGCCGAAATTGTTGGCACCCTTGATATTTCTCCAGGAAATCATGTATTTCTCAGAAACGTATTGCATTAACACATGTTTTGCTATACACATGTTTAAATTGGGACAAAAAAAAAAAGGGAGGAAAGAAAGCAAATTCGAATAATGTCACACAAACCTCCAAAAATGGGCTGGACAAAAGTATTGGCACCCTTTCACAACTGCGGATAAATAAGAATGTTACAAGCATGTGATGCTCCTGTAAACTCACCTGGGGCAAGTAACAGGTGAAGAAAATCACACCTGAAAGCAGATAAAAAGGAGAGACGTTCACTTAACCTTTGCATTGTGTGTCTGTCTGTGCCACACTAAGCATGGACAACAGAAAGAGGAGACGAGAACTGTCTGAGGACCTGAGAACCAAAATTGTGGCAAAATATCAACAATCTCAAGGTTACAAGTCCATCTCCAGAGAACTAGATTTGCCTTTGTCCACAGTGCGCAACATTATCAAGAAGTTTGCAACCCATGGCACTGTAGCTAATCTCCCTGGTCGTGGACGGATGAGGAAAATTGATGAAAGATTGCAACGCAGAATAGTCCGGATGGTGGATAAGCAGCCCCAAACATGTTCCAAAGACATTCAAGCTGTCCTGCAGGCTCAGGGAGCATCAGTGTCAGCGCGAACTATCCGTCGACATTTAAATGAAATGAAACGCTATGGCAGGAGACCCAGGAGGACCCCACTGCTGACACAGAGACATAAAAAAGCAAGACTACAGTTTGCCAAAATGTACTTGATAAGCCAAAAGCCTTCTGGGAAAACGTCTTGTGGACAGATGAGACCAAGATAGAGCTTTTCGGTAAAGCACATCATTCTACTGTTTACCGAAAACGGAATGAGGCCTACAAAGAACAAAACACAGTACCTACGGTAAAATATGGTGGAGGTTCAATGATGTTTTGTTTTGCTGCCTTTGGCACTGGGTGCCTTGACTGTGTGCAAGGCATCATGAAATCTGAGGATTACCAAAGGATTTTGGGTCGCATGTAGGGCCCAGTGTCAGAAAGCTGGGTTTGCGTCCAAGATCCTGGGTCTTCCAGCAGGACAATGACCCCAAACATACGTCAAAAAGCACTCAGAAATGGATGGCAAAGAAGCGCTGGAGAGTTCTGAAGTGGCCAGCAATGAGCCCAGATCTAAATCCCATTGAACACCTGTGGAGAGATCTTAAAATTGCTGTTGGGAAAAAGGTGTCCTCATCCAAAAGAGACCTGGAGCTCCTGTTTGCAAAGGAAGAGTGGTCCAAAATTCCGGGTGAGAGGTGTCAGAAGCTTATTGATGGTTATAGGAAGCGACTGATTTCAGTTATGTTTTCCAAAGGGTGTGCAACCAAATATTAAGTTAAGGGTGCCAATACTTTTGTCCAGCCCATTTTTGGGGTTTTGTGTGACATTATGTCATATTTGCTTTTCTGCCTCTGTTTTATATTTGTTCCAATACATACAAAGGGAATAAACATGTGTATAGCAAAACATGTGTTAATGCAATACCTTTTTTGTGTGAAATACTTGATTTTCAGGAAAAATATCAAGGGTGCCAACAATTTCGGCCATGACTGTATATACGAAACTTTATTCTACCAGTGCACCAACCTCCCAAAACATGAAGAACAGCAAATGGACAAATATATGGGCCTTAGGGGTGCCAGAAAGGCTTATCATAAGATCAAGAGCAAACACGGTCCAAATGTAGTATGCATAAAATTCATATTTATTAATAATCCTTATTAAAAAAAAAAAAAAAAGGTTTGTGAGTTAAAGGATGATGGGGCACCCTGGATATTCCAAGGAAACAGGATCTCACTGGTCAGTGATCAGTTAGAATATCGTGGGGAGTCTAAATCTATCAAGACATGGCCATCAGGGATGTTGAAATTGTATCACCCAACGCTCGGGACATGTAGTTCCGGGCGTTGGGCAGGTAACCTTTCACCCTTTAGCCCTGCAGGCAAGCAGCAGGTCTCGCCTGCCAGGTGAAAGCATTCGGGAGGCAGCGCTGTCACCCAATTGCTTCCACACAGCCCACAGTGCCAGCCTACATTCCCCCCTCCTGTGTGTGAACCTCCCCCCCCGCTCACCAAGTCTCCTGGGCTCCGCTTGCCCATCTGCGGGCCCGGGACTGGCTCAGTGCGCCGGCATCTAGAGAGGAGGGAGGAGAGCGAACGCGTCCGCTCCCCTCCACTTCTTGTCCTGACCCGGATGTGACATTTGACACCACTTCCAGGTCCCCATTCACAGATTCCCGGCCTTTGAGGCTGGGAAAGAATGTAATGCGGTGTGATGTACACTACATTACATTCATGGGAGCACAGGGGAGACAAGCAGGTTATTTTAGACCCTGCATGTCTCATTAAAGAGAACCTGTCACCAAACAAATCATCACATAGGGGACTTTTTATACCTATGTGGTGAAAAAAAAAAAAAGTTAGTAGAAAAAAATATCGAAGTTGCACCTGAGCACATAACATCCTCCCCCTCAAAAAAATTTGAGGCCCCCCACATATATGCACGTACAAAAGTAAAAGCTCACACCAAGGCACCTATGCATGAAAATGTCGATTGCCATACACATGTTACATATCGCCACACACGCCAGAATGAGAGCAATAATTCTAGCACCAGATCTCCTCCGTAATGCTAAACTGATGACCTATAAGGGTCTTTAAAAGGGTCGCCTATAAAATATATAGGGTACTGAAGTTTGTCGCCATTTCACGAGCGCGCGAAATTTAAGTTTTAACATGTTTAATTGATTTTTTGTGCTTTAAAATTAATTTTGTGTATTTTTTACTGAAATTTTGCGTTTTATGTAATCTTCAAGCCTAAAATGATTTTTTTAACCGTGTGCAAAAATCTCAAATATGGCTCTGGCAGCAAAATGGATAAAGGATAAGCCCAACACTACCCTTTCCTGACTAGCACTCGATCAGTGCTCATTACACTGCAAGGTCTCTCTCCTTCCTGCTAGTTCCCGGGTGAGGTGTTGGAGACAGGCAGGGAAGGGAGGAGGAAATAAAATGGCACCATAAAGCCCTTTTTTATTTTAACCACTTCATGTCCGAACACTTTTACCCCTTTCCTGTCCAGGCCAATTTTCAGCTTTCAGTGCTGTCACACTTTGACAATTGAGCGGTCATGCAACACTGTACCCATATGAATTTCTTAGCATTTTTTGAGACAGATAAAACTTTTTGGTGTCTTTATTCACCACTGGGATTTTTATTTTTTTGCTATATAAATGAAAAAGTCCAAAAATTTTGAAAAAAGTGTTTTTCTTATAAAATTTTGCAAATAAATAATCATAAATCGTGGCCAAAATGTATTCAGTTATCTCTTTTAGTAAAAAAAAAAAAACCCAAATTAGTTTATAACCAAAAATGATAATTTTTCAAAAAAATGTTTTTACATTTTTATTTTTTTTTATTTTTTTTTTTTACATACTGTCACCCTAGCAGTACAGTGTCACTGTACACCATAGTGACACTGTACTACTTGTGGGGGTGACAGTTTTTTTTTTTTTTTTATTATTACACTGATTGCTTTTACACCCATAAAGGCTGTAAAAGCAATCCTGTCTCCTTCTCTCTGGCTGCATTCTTGCAGCCATTGAGAAATACTGTGTGAGCTGTGATTGGTCACAGCTTGTCACGTGGTACAAGGCTGTTGTGAATAGCCTTGTACCATGTGATCTCTGTGATCATTCTCCGATTTCACACGTAGTAAACAATGATGTCAGAAGTGACATCTTGCTTACACCTATTCATCTGATCACTAATTGGCCAATCATTGATCACATGATTGGGACCTCAAACAGATCCCGTACAGCGATCGGTCACAGCGGGCACCGTATCGCGGTGCCGCACGTTCCCAGGGAGCGCGCACAATCCAAAATAGCGGGCACCGTTTATGAATGGCAGCCTGCCCCTGCACTGCCACCGTCTGGCTGTTTATATACATCGGCCAGATGGGAAATGGTTAAAAGTCCCAGACATTCCTAACAGCATCTCAGATTTAAATACGGTTTTGGTTAAAATTGATTTTTTTTTTAATCAGGACCGATTTAGTCCCTGGACAAGTGTTTTTTTTTTCCAAACATTTCCACACCCCTGGCCCTCCACCTAAACTGACAGGCTGGGCAAGGAGAGCATTAATCAGAGAATCAGCCAAATGTGGAAAATTTCAAGCGGTATGAATG